GATCTAATGGCATTGTTGAGTGATCCAAATGCAAATTTTGCATGCAACAATCAGAGGCAGCAATTGACAGCGCTCTGATCCAATGGCATACAGGCATCGTCAGATTGACAGTACTCTAGCGCAATGATGTTGGGGGATCCAGTGGGGGCAGTAATCATATTTCAGGGTGGCCGTGCCACTCTTTATCACAACCCTGCTAAAATGTAGCGCCAGTACGTGCGCTCATTGGTGCCCCCTCCAGCTGGTGGCACCCTAGGCGACCGCCTAGCTTGCCTATGCATAGAAACGGTACTGTCTCACATATTTCCATTTAAACACAATCACATGGTATCTGCTTCAGAGCATGATGTTGAGAATTTCACATCTCCATGTACTGCACAGCAGATCAAGAGCATTAGCAACACAAAAGTCTCCTTTGTGCGACTGGAAGTCGAATTTTACTGATTTTTGTTCTCTGCTGCTCCTACACAACCCCTGACAACAAACGTCATGAGCGAAACAGCTATTCTGAACTCAGTGACCCCCCACGCACACACAGAGACATATGTTGCCTTACCGATCCGAAACGCTTCGGTTTGACACCCTGCAGCTGTGGGTGATTATCATCATTCACCCTTGCTAATGGATTCAACCTTATTCCTCTTTCTGTCCCTTATACTCTTCTCCCTCATCCTTTGTTCTAATTAATCAATGCTTCTGATCAGTATCGACAGAGCACGTTCACCTACTAACAATAGAAGCAATGTTGAATCGAGAGAGAGTCAACCATGTATTGGGTCAGAATGGTGAGTCTGGATCTATTCAAACGAAGGCGTGAATTTTGAGTGTCATGTTAATTAAAGCTTGTGGTAACAACTGAAAGCCCTCATTAGCAGGGTGATTTTCTTCACGGCAACATTAGCGTGCAGAATGCATAGGTCCGTAACATAGGGAGCATATCTTAACCAGTAAAACTACTGCAAGGCAAGAGGCTAATAAGGTACCAATACACAGAATGAGAGAGAGAGAGGGAATTAAAATTATATTTCAGGTGCATCTCTCATAAGCCACTGTGTTGTAAAGCACACTAGAGATTTGTGTTTTTCTTTAAAGGTCAGTTAGAATATGCTACTCCACCTAAAGGTCAAAACCATCTTATTAACGCAAATAAATAAATAAATCAATAAGCAAACATCCATTCTCTCCCCATTTGCCTCTGTAAATCCCCAATCCCCCAGCAGCCTCCTGTTTTTACAGAAGAAACAGTGTAAAACCTCAAAGTAATTTCAAAACAGACTCTGCCCTCATACGGTCCAAATCTCTTTCTCTCTAACGGCATTAAAGCGCAGATAAAACCCTGCCTGGACCTGAGGTGGATGTTCCAGCACTGTGTTCAGGGCCAGATTAACAAATGGACCATGATGCAACTGAATCAGTGCTTGGACAATTTATGCAACACAAAATCTGATGTTTCACTGCAGGACACGCAACATAGGGTTCGCAGTCATTCGGTCTCATTCACTCATATGCCAAAGGTTAATCCCGTAGCAAAAAAAATCACAAAAAAGATGGTATTAATATCTCAGTTGTTTCTCCTAGATAGCAATGTGATTGTATGGTGAGCAAATGGAGATCCAAGAGTCTCCTGCTTCTCAGATTTTTTGTTTTCAGGGGAATAAATGTATTTTCTAGAAATTCAGAAAAAAACCTTAGATATCAGCAAACAAATGCAATCAAAAAGATGAAGATTTCAAATATTTATCAAATTCTTCATATCTGTTCGAATTAGACTTCACATTGATTTTTATTGCACTGTACTCTCATTGTATGTCAACTGTCACATTAATGTACATTTTTTTTATTTCTTCTATGGAATTTTAGGAGACTTTATTGATTTTTCAGTAATGCTTGTATGTAAATATCAGTTTTGTCTGTTTCTCCTAAACTTCCTAGTGATGCACTGATACTTCTCGATATTACTAAGCTGATTATTATTTACATTATAGCTGATAACCCATAAATGCAAATGTAAAATGCTATACAATGTTGTCTAGTTAAAAACAAAAACTAAAATCAATGGTTTAACATGAATTTAGGCATCACAACATCATAATTCACAGTATGAAATTATTTTTTTATATTTGCAAAAGATTGATTTAACATTTAAAAGTGTTAAGTTATTAGTATTTTAAAGATTAACTTTACATGAGTGTTAGATGGCAGCAAAGGTAATCTAATGAATTAAATATCCACTATACCAATAAATAAATAAAATATACATCAAATAATTGACCAATAACCAATATGGTACAGAAATAGCCTATCATGCATCCCTAAAATAAGTAAGAGCAATGTCCAAGCAATAAAATTTTCCTACACTCTGTCTTCCATCTTGCACTCTTTTGTTTTACGTCAAGTCTTATCCAGCCGTCTTGCCAAGAGAAAACACAGAGCCATGAAATTCAACAGTAGAGCAGCTAAATTAAATGTTACTGGTGTAAATAATACAGAGGAGGAAGAAAACACTTCAAACAGATGACAGGGCAGAGAAGAACAGTTAACCATTCACACACAATATAGGCTGGATATATCTGATTAACCGATTTGATTATTGCTCTAATGAGGACTAGTTCTCCTAGCTGACATGCTGAGTGTTCGTATGGCAGCAGGCCTGTGTTTTACATGGTAATGCAATGTCTCAGTCTCACCAGAGAAGCAGAACTGCAGTGCTGTATTTCACTCTGACTGAGTGAGGTGGAGACCCCGATAATGTGCACATCAGTGTGAACGAATCAATAAATAAAAGAAGCACCAGGCGTGTAAAACACACTACTGCATTGGTCAAGAGCACAGACAGAAATCCTCAGAATCAACAGGTGTGCTATGATGGGATACAAACCTGAACCTACTGGCACAATCACCTGTGAAAAACAGCTGGGACGTGAAAATGAACCCTTATATTTGGATTGAACTGAATGGGAAACACTCCCACACACAGGCAGTGAGAACGCATGACGTCAGTGGGGTTGGAAATGTCATAGTGGTTTGCATTGTTCAGCACATGTACCTGAGAACATTAGTCACAGTGACACACACTTCTACAGCGTGTTTTATTGATGAGAAGAGTCTCTCTCGCTCTCATCTCAGGTCAAGTCTCAGATCCGGGTGGAGACTGGATCTCTGGGGTGAATGTAGTAATGTGTAATGAGATCTGTGCTATTCTGAAATCCATGTAAAACTAGCCAACACATTAACACAACAATAAGGACAATATATAGGGTTATAGTTCAACATAATGCCCACAATGACCTGTTAAGAGATTCGGTCATGAACATATACACAGATAACTCTCAAACGAAAGCTTAAATAAGTAATTATGTGTCTAACCATTTGTAATTCTACCTCAGAAAAAGACAGTCACCTGAACACAGACCCAACTGTATTCATCAAGGACCAAACCATTTGGCAATGTAACACTCATGAGTTACTGTCCACAATAAGTGAAGTCCTTAATCTTGTTGTTTTGGGGTCACAGGGCTCACAGACAGGTGCTTCAGCCAATGATCAGCCATCTAAACAGGAAGTCAAAGACCGTTTTGACTTCAGCTCTGGTTTCAAAACCACAGTGACACAGCAGCTACATACAGTACATATGATAGTAGCTGTAGCAGCATATACTGTATATAGCCGATTACTCAAGTCATATGCCGTCTAATCACTCAAAACAATCACCTAAATTAATCCTCCACATTCTCTTAAAACCAATTGTGTCAAACGTCTACTCGCATCAGTCATGAACACACAAATAAATGGCCTGTGATTTATGAGGGGCAGGGTTGAAGTAAATGGGGCTATACAGCTCTGCAGTTGCCTTCTGTTGTTAATGTGTGGGAGAAACACTGAAGGATGTTCCTCTGCTTGCTTCACACATGCTTAACCCTCTACCGCATGGTGTAGCCATATGGCAACATACTCTTTGTGTTCATTTGCTTGCCACTGTCGCTTTAAGAGAACATTCTCGTTTTTTTTGTTGGAAAGAGAAGACCTTAGTTTAGCCAATGATGTGCTTTGATTAAGTCACATGACATGCAGTTTTTTCTATAGGTCTATCATAATGCGTGCGGTAGAGGGTTAAATATTAATTGGTGCATAATAGGGATGAATAAAGTCTAGCCTGGGGCAGCGAGTTAAATCCAAACCTACCGCTGCTTCAGGCAGGCATGACTGCAGTCAGCAACCATGGTCATTAGGGTTAGATGCTAATAGCAGTTAACTCAGAAAAGAAAGAAAATCCACAAGCTGCAGGGAAACGGCTTCTCTTTCGATGAGGTGTAATGTTATACTGTAAACAGTTGTGTTTGTTTAAGTTGCACTTTGGTGGTTTAAAAGACCTTGTACATGGGTGTACTTAAAGGGATAGTTCACCCAACAAAGGAAAATTCTGTCATAATTTACTCACCCACATGATGCTCCAAATGTGTATGACTTACTTTATTCTGCATAACACAAATAAAGAATGTCAACACTGGACCCTATTAACTTTCACTGTATGAACTAAAACATTCTTAAAATATCTTCTTCTGTGTTGTGCAGTCATACAGATTTGGAACGACACGAGGGTGAGTAAACAATGGCAGAATTCTTAATTCCACTGTCAGAAAGGTTGTGCAAAAATTGTACCTTTAGGGGTACAACAGTTCGTCACTGAGGCAGTACCCTTAAATGGACAACTTTGTACCTTATCTACCCCTAAAAGGTGCATATTAGTGCCTTTTAGAGTAGTTATATGTACCCCTAAAGTTCTATTTTGAACCCTTTAGGGGTAAATAAGGTACAAAGTTGTCCCTTTAAGGTGGCAAGCTCCTGTACCCCTGAAGGTACAATTTCTGCACACAGTGATGAGTGGACTATCCCTTTAAGACTTAACCTCTAAATTGCATGAGGGGTGTGGCTTGATGTGCATTCAGGGTTAAAAAGTGTAAAAATATACAGGGAAGTCATTCAGAGACAAAATTACTCACCCCAGCGTTGTCATGGTTACAATGGTGTACCAGAAGGAGGCCGGGATGCTGGTGAACTTGCTGGACGAGGAGCCTTTCTCAGCGTAGAACATGACTGTGGCAAAGATGATGATGGCCATGGTGAGGGAGAAGAGGAGGAAACCGAGCTCGGACGCGCAACTCTTCAGCGTGTAGCCAAGGATCCGGAGACCCTGGGAGTGGCGGGAGAATTTAAAGATTCGGAAGACGCGGAACACCCGTAGCGTGACGAAAGCTCCGCTTACGTCCTCGTTGTTGGTCATGACGAGCCCAATGTAATACGGCAAGATGGCCACCACATCGATAATGCTCATCACGCTTCTCATGAAGCGGTACCTGCTGGGCGCCGCGAACAGTCGCATCAGATACTCCACCGTAAAGATCATTACACAAGCCGTGTCCATGCAGAAAAATGCCTCTGTGTAGCGCTCCCCGCAGGGGATGTCTCTCTGATTCGGCATAGAACTGCAAGGAACTGTCTCAATCACATTGGTGATGACAGATATGGCGATGAAGAATCCGGTTACATAGTAGAAAACCAGCGCCATGGTGCTAGTGTGCGGGTTCTCGAAGGCCCTCCACACGGTCTCGCGGAAAGTCATGTTGGGGAGTTTGCTATCTTTGTTGTCCTCAAGGTCATCCATAAGACGCTCTATGTTCTCTCTCTTGCGGTCCTTGTACTCTTCGTAACAGCAGTCACTGATGATCTCAGGAATGATTCCAAAGAACGCCAGCTCCTCATCGTAGGCAGAGATGCACTCGTAGCGTGGGTAGTGCAGCTTACCTGTGCGGTAGAAGTTAAGAATACTTCTGAACACATCCGGATCTCGGTCAAAGAAATACTCCCTAGTTTCCTCATTGAAGAAGAATTCTTTTTCAGAGCTCCCCAGAAGCGTATCAGGGTAACGGTCTAGCGTGTTGCGCCAGGTCTGGAAGCGTCGGCCACTGACGTTGAGGATAATAAGCTCGTCCTGATGCTTGTTCTTATTGGTCGGTGCGACGGGCATGGGCAGGTTGGCCACGGGCATCCATCCTATGGCCGCCGCCCGAGCAAAGGGGAGCCAGGCTGCCACTCCAGCAGCCATGGGGACTCCAGCTGGGGTCGAGGGGACCAGATCAAACACCTTCACAACCAGCTTGACATTAGATTAGACGTTGTGCAAAAATTGTACCTTTAGGGGCACACCAGCTTGTCACTGGCAGCACCCTAATAAATGGACAACTTTGCACCTTATCTACCCCTAAAAGTTGCATATTAGTGCCTTTTAGAGTAGTTATATGTACCCCTAAGATACTACTATGAAATTTTTAAGGGTAAATAAGGTACAAAGTTGTCCCTTTAAGGTGGCAAGCTCCTGTACCCCTGAAGGTACAATTTCTGCACACAGTGATGCGTGGACTATACCTTTAAGACTTAACCTCTAAATTGCATGAGGGGTGTGGCTTGATGTGCATTCAGGGTTAAAAAGTGTAAAAATATACAGGGAAGTCATTCAGAGACAAAATTACTCACCCCAGCGTTGTCATGGTTACAATGGTGTACCAGAAGGAGGCCGGGATGCTGGTGAACTTGCTGGACGAGGAGCCTTTCTCAGCGTAGAACATGACTGTGGCAAAGATGATGATGGCCATGGTGAGGGAGAAGAGGAGGAAACCGAGCTCGGACGCGCAGCTCTTCAGCGTGTAGCCAAGGATCCGGAGACCCTGGGAGTGGCGGGAGAATTTAAAGATTCGGAAGACGCGGAACACCCGTAGCGTGACGAAAGCTCCGCTTACGTCCTCGTTGTTGGTCATGACGAGCCCAATGTAATACGGCAAGATGGCCACCACATCGATAATGCTCATCACGCTTCTCATGAAGCGGTACCTGCTGGGCGCCGCGAACAGTCGCATCAGATACTCCACCGTAAAGATCATTACGCAAGCCGTGTCCATGCAGAAAAACGCCTCTGTGTAGCGCTCACCGCAAGGGATGTCTCTCTGGTTCGGCATAGAACCGCAAGGAACCGTCTCAACCACATTGGTGATGACAGATATGGCGATGAAGAATCCGGTTACGTAGTAGAAAACCAGCGCCATGGTGCTAGTGTGCGGGTTCTCGAAGGCCCTCCACATGGTCTCGCGGAAAGTCATGTTGGGGAGTTTGCTGTCTTTGCTGTCCTCAAGGTCGTCCATAAGACGCTCCACGTTCTCCCTCTTGCGGTCCTTGTACTCTTCGTAACAGCAGTCGCTGATGATTTCGGGAATGATTCCAAAGAACGCCAGCTCCTCGTCGTAAGCAGAGATGCACTCATAGCGTGGGTAGTGCAGTTTCCCTGTGCGGTAGAAGTTAAGAATACTTCTGAACAAATCCGGATCTCGGTCAAAGAAATACTCCCTAGTTTTTTCATTGAAGAAGAATTCTTTTTCGGAGCTCCCCAGGAGCGTATCAGGGTAACGGTCTAGCGTGTTGCGCCAGGTCTGGAAGCGTCGGCCACTGACGTTGAGGATAATAAGCTCGTCCTGATGCTTGTTCTTATTGGTCGGTGCGACGGGCATGGGCAGGTTGGCCACGGGCATCCATCCTATGGCCGCCGCCCGAGCAAAGGGGAGCCAGGCTGCCACTCCAGCAGCCATGGGGACTCCAGCTGGGGTCGAGGGGACCAGATCAAACACCTTCACAACCAGCTTGACATTAGATTAGACCCCATCTACATTGAGAGAGACAGGAAGATGGGAAGATAGGAGCGAGTGAGAGGTTGGCAAATGTGGGAGGACAGGAAGAGGAGAGAGTTCCAGTGGGAGAGAGTGAGACAGATGTGAAATGGGAGTGAAAAGACGGCAAGAGCGAGCAGGATGCCAACAGAATAGAGAGGCAGAGGTAAAAGGGAAGCAATCATGTAGAGTATAGTAAAAAGAAGTACAGAAAAACAAAAATGCAAGATATGGACAGGGAGGAACGGACAAAAAATGGTAGACTGTATCAGACCTCAAACCTTAAGCCTATTATTTAGAATCACTCTTTCTCCCTCAAAGCAAAGTACAAAATAGATAAAACAGCAAAACAAGACAGTTGTCCATTTTTATCATTTATAGCCCATACTTTGCATTAAAGGCTGCAGATAAAACAACGCATATATTCTGACACTAATATACTGTATTCTAACATACTGTGACACTGCACTAATAGTATAGTTTTAAAGACAATTGAATAATAACATCTTTTTTACCAGACAGGTTTTTACCACGTCTGTTTTTACAGTAACAGCCCATATACAACATTATCGAACACATGCATCATGACAATTCGTAAAGAAAGCTGATTTTAAAACCATTTATTCTCAGTTAATTTAAGAGAGACCCCAAAGGGTAAGAGACGGTTTGTGCTCGAGACACAGAGCCCTTCGGCAACTGCAGTTAGAAACAGATGCGAACCTGTTGAGCTTAATGCAAAACAATAAAACGCCACGAAATATCGGTCGCTAAACACTGACAGTGCTGTAGTTCGTACTTTACGAGCATCAAGATTTGCACTGTTAACACTTCAACTGCGGGTATCCACAGCTGCGCCTTAATAAATATTGTATAATATGAACAAGGCTAATCAATATTATTATTATAATAGTAATTATTATTATTATAGTTATTAATAATAATGGTCCAAATGGTAAAGCACAGCAAACTCGTTTTCAACAGTTGAATTTTTTGTTACTTACCCATGAAAAATCTTTGAACTTTTCATTCATTCAGCTACATTTATGACATTTCCTCCTGACATCACTTCGAAAGTGTTCGCCGAATCATCCGCAAATGAATGATGAAAAGAGAAAACAAAAACCCAAGTGAAAGAATAAAACAACAAGGGACTAACCAGCGTGATTGGAGCAGTGGAAAATAATAGTTTAGTTTCTTATTTGGGTCCCTCAGTCACATCCTGCGCTGTTTAATGATCCATTTGCTCGGACGGACAGAAATGCCGCACCGACCGCTCGCGCGCTCGAAGTGACTTCCCCGAGGATGCTCGGCTGATGGATAGAGGTGGTAGTCTTTTCCCAACCTCTCTCTCTCGTTCTCTTTCTCTCTCTCTTCTCTACATACACCAGCACACTCCCTTTCTCCCGCCCCGAGGTCTCTCCGTTGCCAGGTCTCGCGCTCTCTAGTTAGGCGCTGCGCGCGCGATCCGTGTTCGTGGAGCAGAGAGAGCGCGAGACGCACAGAGGCAGTATATACTCGCTTTCGCGCCACTCTGTTCGACAGCGCGCTGATTTCACCTTACTTTATAGTGGGCTCACCCTGCTTGCCTTAGCTTTTTTACCTGCAACCAATATAGAAATGAGGACGAGGTAATTGATTTGCAAAGTCATTCGCAGCCCAGGTTTTAACCATCCATATTCAAAGATGACATTCAAAACGACTTCTCATTCTCATATTGATTCGTAATGCTAAATTTATGTAAAGCTTAAATCAGAAAGTATTAACGCAGATGTATCAGAAGTAGGCTAAACTATCAGGATTAAAAAAAGGTTTGTGTGTGTGTGTGTGTGTGTGTGTGTGTGTCATGATTCACATAATGTTGATCTGTTTTAATCTTTTGTGTGATGCAAGACATTGATGCAACAAATTACTAAAAGTATGTGTGTGTGTGTGTGTGTGTGTGTGTGTGTTGAGAGAAACGTGTAAATGATGTAGGCTAAATACATCTAAAGTAGGCTACTCATTAGTATTTGAAGGGCTCGTAAATTGGCCAAGTCATGTTATAGCTACAACTTTAAATGTAATAATGATAATGTTCATGTGAGTGTTATTATGGTGGTCTCGCTCAGTCAGACCTTTGACTAGACTGCAAAAGGTCGGGTCGATAGCTTATTTTAGCCAAAAACCGCCCACTTAGACAGAAAGAGCTGTTTGACTAATGTGTAAAGCAATCAGTCACAGTTCGTTTTGATTATACATGTTAGGTACGGGGCTATTTGAACTAGTTTGTAACGCAATTATAGGCTGATATTCAAAATAATATTCAAATAATGACGCAGCTGTTTAAGAAATAGCGGAAAATGTGTAAACACTATGTATAATGTAGTGGGAAAATAAGTAAACAATTCATAAAACAAACCATTCTCTCTCTGCTATTAAGTGCCTCAAGCAAAACTCTGATTATCTTTTAAAGATTTGATGTCACTGTCTTGACAAACTTTGAAAAATCCAGTGATTATTTTGCTTGTAACCTGAAAGAATAATGCTGTGGGCATTCATGCATTCATAATTATCCTTCTGCTGTCATTTAATAGCAATTAATTTGTGTTTTTTTAACCAAAATCTTAACCAGTCCTGCAAATTAATGAGCAAACACAAAGCCATATGCACTGCTGTTCTCCATGCCCAAAATCAGGCCACTGGAATTTAATTTCTGTTCTCTTCTTATTGTGTACGTGTGAATTATTTATATCCCTCTTTTCTTCTCCTGTAACGTCCTTCAAACGTGGCTCAGTGGATGAATCCTCAGCAGTTATCGGCTTCGGAAATCCTTGATGGATTTAGTGTGCTGGCGTGCCTTGTGATGGAAGCGTGTTGTTGAGTGTGGAGCGGGTTCTGATATGTGTAACCACAGATTCGCTGCTTCAGTAAGCAATATAAAGCCTAATTAACTCTGCTGGGACTCTCAGCTCTCAAAGTGGGCCTGAAGGTTCTGAAGAATACCAATAAACTCAGATCAGTGGCGACAGTGTAAAAATGCACCCTAAATGCATACTTTTTCAGTTGAGTGAACAGCGGTGCTTTTTCTAAAAGCACTCACTTACCTTAACACTGGCGAAGAAATACAACTCCACAAAATTCCTTCGTAATACACTTATTCGTTCCTGAAGTAATTATAAAGCCTGTAGTCTAGTGTAACTTATTTCGGACAGACACAAGAAAGCACTATCTTAAGGGAGTAAGGAAAGAGTTTTGCCTGAAGGCCCCTCTAAAATATCCTGTCAAAGAGAATAGACTGATCAATAGCATCCAACAACGTGTTTAAATTTACAATCATAGGCACGGAAACTCGTCCACTGTCTGCGGGTAAAAGGAAACCATTAATCAATTTAACTACAGCTGTTTCAGTGATCTGACGGGGAGCAAAACCAGACTGCAGTAATTCACGTAATTACAGGCTGTGTAAATGA